ATGATGGATCTCAGTTTGTTTCTAAAGCTCAAGATTAAATTAATTAACTAAATTAGTGTTTTAGGACAAATAAAAGCGGAAAATAAAAACATCTCTACAAAAGTAACAAAGTTAAATTCTATCTTAATGTTTTATTTTGATAAGAAACATGTTTCTGTGGTTCCTTTAAGTTAAATGAATACCAGATTTTGCTTTATATAAGGATGTTTTACTCTTAATGCTTTTGTTTTATGTTTATTGTCACTTTGAAAAACCAAACAAGACTCTGGAAGAAAACCTGAAATCCCATTTCTGGGTTATAAAAACTTCAGTGAGTCAAATCTGGTGTAATTTTTTCTAGTGTTTGTCACTGATTATCTCACTTCTCCCTAATTCTACAACGCTGCTCAAACATGTGGGTGTGATATCTGGGAAGATTCGCTCCCACACAGATTGCAGACTGTATCTACGCAACTTCATTTAGAGCAAATTGACTGATGTAGGATTATTGTTTCTCGTAAATTATGTTCAGCTTAAGTTTGGATATATACTGGTAACGTTCAGGTTTAGGTGTAAACGCAGTTATTAAAATGAACAGAAGTTAATCGGAGTGTTTTTTGTGTGAGGAAAAAAATATTTACATTTCTATTAGTGTTTTTGTCTTTTGTTTGGAGGCAAATTATGAACTGCAAAAAAACAAAAGCCTAAGTATTTTTAGTATTTTTGCTAGTGCAAATATCTCTGTACACTTGAAATAAGGAACAAATAACTTACAAGTAACTTTTTATACAAGAGCTTGTTTTAAATAAGCAATTTGTTGATATTAAGTTTAAAAAGTACTAGTTCCACTGGCGCAATATTTCACTTATTACAAGACATTTTTCCCCATATTATTAGTGAAATAATATTCCAGTGAAACTAATACTTTTTCATCCATTTTAATGAATAATCGGCATAAAATAAGCTGCTGTATAATGCTGAAAAATCACTTTTTTATTTCAGGTGTACTGAGATATTTGCACTAAAAAGTAGACTAAATATACTTGGTAATATTTTGTGGTTTTGCAGTGTCATGAAACCCTAAAGTTAATTTAAATTGGAGATGCAGTTTTTTATGCTCCTCTATTCTGGAACGAACTTTTAGAAAACTGAAAAGATGCTGAAACACTGAAGAACCTAAAACACATTTTAAAAACTAAACAAAGAACTGTTTAGTTTCCTTTGATTAATAACAACTGGAAAGTCATAGACTACAGTTTATGGTGTTTTCCTTTAGTTTATCACTGCAATGGTTTTTGTTGTTGCTCGTTTTGTTTCATTTTTGTCCTAATCGTGCTGTACAGATAAACATGCTTTACATCTGAAATATTTTTATATCTACAGCGTCAGCAGAACTGAAACCCACAGGTGGTGAGTCTGCTTCATTCTGCTGACAACAGCTGTGATTATTGGACAACAATTGAACAATGAAGAGACACTGCATTGTAAGGTATTTTTAGTCTCCAGTGCAAATATATGAAACACTTGAAATCAGACAAAACTAACTTACAAGTAACTTTACAGCACAAGTGCTTGTTTGAAGTCAATAATTATTTTCTATTGATGAAAAACTTCAAATTATAATCTGCCAGTAGATTATTTCATTTCTTTACAATCAATATTAAGGAATTTAATAACTTAAAACAAGCTCCAGTGTTTTGCTGAGAAGTTACTTGTAGGTTATTTTCGTGTCATTTCAGCTGAATTAATATATTTGCACCAGAAACTAGACAGAAACATTTTGTTTTTCCAGTGAAGGAGGTTAATAGGTTAGCATAACTGTTTCCCAGAGCTAACCTAAAAATAACACTTCCTGTTACTGTGATAACTCATTATCATTTAAAACCAACTTTTACTGGTTTAATGGTGTTTCACCATTAGCTTAAACCTGTTAGCATATTTAGCATTAGCAGGAGCACACCAAGCTAACTCTGTCATTGGTTGCATTTAACTGAAGAAAGTAAAGTTTACACTGTCGGCCTTAACGCTTAATTCTGATTTATTTTTTGTGAAATTAGATTCTTTGTTTTTCTTTTGCGTGTTCGTCCACATTTCCAAACGTGAACTAACGTTCCAGTGAATGACCTGAATTTGTCCCGCATGCGCAGATGGCGCAGAAACGTCACACCTAGCGAGCGTGCTCAGCGTTTAGCTAACCGCCACAAACAAGAAGAAGAATAAGAAAACGAAGAAGAAAAAGAAAAGAAGCGCTCCGTGTTTGCGGAAGTAAACATGAATGCTAATGACAGGAGCTAGCTCATTAGCGACTTAATCTTCATTAAAGGCGCTACGATTGTTGCTTTTCTTCCCGCTTGCGATTATCAGGACGCAGAATAGTGACGTTTGTTGAGTGTCAATGACGTTCAGGTCGGATGAATGCGACACACATTTCTAATTTGAAATCTTCAGCTGCGTGTCGTTTATCCAGGTGGCCTGGGTCGCATTAAAGCAATGGGGAAAAAAGAATAAAAAATCTAATATGCGTCACTTCCGGTTGCATTGTGAAGGTTGCCTAAGAAAAATTGCCCTGAAAATGTTTCATAGGCCGTTTTTTGTTATGCTACAGTTGCAGTCAGTTGTAAATACGTGAGTTGCTCAAGTGGGTCATTCTTTTTAACGGCCTCACCCTGCTAATGCTGTGCATGTTGTGTAACTGAATGAGTCACATTCTTGGTATTATAAGTGCAGAGGATGCATTAAGCAAGCAGCGCAAGAAAATGATGCTCACGCTGATCTGAAGTCAGGTTATATTTACTGCTTTTTGTTTACTGTCATGCTTTCATCTTCCAGATTTAAAAAACTGGAGCCATGAATCACCAAAGTAGAGAGATGTCAGATCCTGACCAGTGATCTGCTCTATTTACCCAAAAACTACAAGTAAAAGTAGAACAACTTCAACATATTTTCAATCAAGAAAAACTAAAAAGTAGCTGTACAAGAAATTGCTCGAGTAAAAAAGTATTTGGAAAAATGTCCGCTCAAGTACTGAGTAATGGATCAAATTATCAATCATTTAATATCTAAAAATTAAAAAAGTCAAATGGAGCAAAATATAAAATCATGTGAAAATTGAGGTATTTTATTAATAAAAATGCTAATTTATATAAGAAACAATAAATAAACATCAGGTGAAATAATTTTTTTTCTTTCTTTAGATATCAAAGAATTACATTTTAGACAATTTTTTTGTCAATTGCCACATCATACATTTTCTTGAAATTTTAATAATTCAGGCAGAAAATGTAATCTAAGTCAAGGACATCAGTGCTCTGTTAACACTTGAGAGATACATTTACTCCCTGATTTTTAAAAAGGGGCACATTTTTTTTTTCTGCAGAAAAAAACATGAAGGATACAACATTTAACTGACAAAAACAAAAATTCTATCAATTAAAAATGCAGAAAGTTTTCCAGTTTTTCCAGGCTGCAGTTCGACTGAGAAAGTTGCCAAAATGTAAAATGCTGGTGAAAAAATCAACAGTTTTATCAGGGTTTCCCTCTCAGGTTGTTTCTGGCCGGCCGTTTGTTTTTCCTAATGAATGAAGGATTGTTGAACTGGGGAATCGTGATGCACAAACACATGCATGTTCCTCACCTTCCCAGAAATGCTGCTCCAGATTCATTTCAGCCACTGATGATGATGGAGGATCTGGATCCTGTTACTGGGCCTGTTCCAGAGGAAAGTTAGAGCTGCTGACAGCAAACAGGAAAACGGAGCAATGTGCAACTCGCAGAAACTCAGAGATGGTTGGTGCAGCAACGATTTGAATGGAAAAAGAATTACATTTCATAAACATTCAAGATTTTAATGCCAAATTTTTCCCGTTGCTTGTTTTTTGGGGTTTTTTTGGACGAAACAAGCTGCTGCACATTTTCCTCTCTGACTTATATTGAGAAATCAATCGCTATCGTAAAGTTAGATCATGATTGTTTATTTTTATGACTTACAGCATCGAAATGAGCCGTTTCAAAAACCTTCAGTTACACTTGACAGGCACTGCGACGTTACATAGCAACCCAAGTTCAGCTCCAGCACACTTGGTCAGCTGGTTTTGCTCACCAGATGTTTTGTTTATTTCCAGAGGTGATTAAATAACCCCCAAAAATTGTATTCTAATAAAAGTAGGACTAAAAGTAATTGTATATAAAATTACTTCAGAGTAAAAAAAATATTTGGTAAAAATTCTGTTCAAGTGAGTAACTGATCAAATTATCAATCATTTCATATTAAAAAAATTACATCATCAGATGGAGCAAAATATAAAGTGAAGTAGAAATTTAGGTATTTTAAGGACAAAAATGTCAATAATTCACAGAAATAAAAAATAAATGAAATCTGGCAAAAAAATTATAATTCCAAATCCGTTTCCTACAAGCTACAGGTGTGTGTGTCTGGTGGACTTTTGTTTAAAACATGGTTGTTTTTCATTCATTGGGTTGAAAATCTTGAAATTTTACTCAAGTAAGAGTAGAAATACTTTATTATAAAAAGTACAGTGTAGTAAGAATACTCCTACATTTTGTTTCAAAACGTTACTCAAGTAAATGTAATTGATTATGTTTTTGACTTTCCACCCAGAAACAACTTGCTGCATTCTTGTTTGTTGTGCAGGAGGCTCTACTAATGCTTTTTCAAAGATGCGTGGCCAGCTCATTTGGAATTAAAGTGACAGAGGCTCTAAAACATTCTGAGTGGATTTTGAGCAAAAACCCAAAATGAACATGTTTTGTTTCGCCCATAGATCCATCCTAACCTGTTACATAATAGGTTCACCTATAATGTTCTGCAACCAGCTGGTAAGAAAATGCTGGAGGTCTGGCATAAAGACCAGCAGAGCTGCAGAGTCTTTTCACTCAGCGAAATGTTTCGACAGTGATTTGTGAATTTGAACCTGCTTCCTGTTTCTGCATTGATCACACACAGCCACACAGTACACACCTACACACACTCATTGGTCACTGGTGTTGCTGGTCCGCCTCCACACTGTCTGCTTTATAAAGGCAGGCCACACCAAAGGAGTGAAGTTACACAGACTGGCCCTTTAAACTCCCTGTCAGCTCAGATTCGACCAATCTGTGACATTTTCTCTCTGCGTCTGATATTTGAGGTTTTGATCTCAGAAGAGTTTGTGATTTTTGTTTTGTTCTGCGGTCGTCAATGGATTTGTCAGACTTTCCCTTCCCTCTCTCGTCGGCTGATGACCTCTATGACCCCTGCTTCAACACCAGTGACCTGAACTTTTTCGATGACCTGGACGCACGGCTGACGCACGGCGGCCTGCTGAAGTCGGAGGATCATCTCCATCACCACGTGCCAACAGCGGAGGAGGAGGACCCAGCACGTGAGGGCCCCCGGGGGCCTCCACCAGGGGGGCCACTGCCTGCTGTGGGCCTGCAAGGCCTGCAAGAGGAAGACCACGCACGCCGACAGGAGGAAAGCGGCGACGATGCGGGAGAGACGGCGCCTCAGTAAGGTGAACGACGCGTTCGAGACGCTGAAGCGCTGCACGGCCTCCAACCCCAACCAGCGGCTGCCCAAGGTGGAGATCCTGCGGAACGCCATCAGCTACATCGAGTCCCTGCAGGCGCTGCTGCGGGCCGGCCAGAGCGACGGCGGCGAGGGCTTCTACCCGCAGCTGGAGCGCTATGGCGGCGAGTCAGACTCCTCCAGCCCCCAGTCCAGCTGCTCCGACAGCACGGTGAGGCCGCGACAGCTGAACGGTCCATGTGCTGCCTCATGAAATGTGAGGAATGGAACCAGAGATTATTTTGGGCTCCTGTGATTAGTTTTGATGAATGGTGTCTGCAGAATGGAACAACACGCACTGCAAAAACACAAAGGTGTTTTTTATTGGTCCACTTTCTAATGCAGATGTAATATGTAAAGAAACATTGAATTTTTATATTTTTTCTCACTTTTATTTAGATTTTATTTAATGCTGCTTCATATCTTCTGATTTTAAACTAACTTACAAGTAACTTTTCCGCAAGATTTAGGATCCTGTTTTATGTGAACAATTTCTTAACATTTATTAAAAAGTACTGGTAGCACTGGCTGAATATCTCACTTAAAGACATTTTTCCCATATTATAAGTGAGACTGTCTGTCACAAGCTTTCCCCACCATTAATAATGCCCCAAAATATGCAAAAACACAGAGTTTTACTTTTTCACTTACATTCATTTTGCATAAATGCTGCTTCATACCTTCTGATTCGGCTGCCAATGATGTTGAATGTATTACACTGTAAAAACAAAATATTACCAAGTAGGTTTAACTTCTAGTGCAAATATCTTAGTACAGTTGCAAGATAGTTTTTTCTTATTTCAAGTAACTTTTCAGCAAAATATGGCGCTTGTTTTAGGTAAAAGTTTCCTTAATATTGACGAAAAAACACTAGTTAAATTACCAGATTATTTCACTTATAAAAGTTATTGTTAAAAGTGAAACAATAAGAACTGGTGCTTTTTCATCAATATTAAGGAATTGTTTATTTAAACAAGCTCCTATATGCTGGTTAGTTTTATCTTCCAAGTGTGTATTTGGATTATAAAATAGAAAAAAAAAATACTTGGTAAGATTTTGTGTGTTTTTGCAGTGAACCAGATAAACTCTTTCTGTCTTTTGATAAGAAAATATGTCGGATTTTAAATTAATCTCTTAAGTTTTATTTAGTCTTGTTAGTTTTTAGTTTTGTTTAGTACAGTCCTGCACAGCTGAGATTCATTTGCTCATTTTTGGCTTAAAAAGCGAAGCAGCTTAAAAATTTGATTGTCAGCCAATCAAATTTGCCTCTAACAGGGTTTACCTGAAATAAAGGATATTTCTATCTAATTATTAGTTAGTTTGACTTATATTTTTTAATAATGTCCAAAAACAGGTCATATTTATGTAAAAATGAATTGCATTTATGATTTAAAAATGTATTTAATTTTTTTTTTAGTTTCCCTTTTTGTTTTAAATCATCTTCCAACTTTCTGAAGCTCACTAGCGCCCTCCAGCGGTCTCCACTTTGAAAAACACTGTGATAGTACAATATTAATAATTAATATTGATTGAAAAAAAGTAGTAGTTCCACTGGCAGAGTTTTTTCACAAAATATTGTTATAATAAAAAAACTCAAATTATTTTTGAAAATCAATATTAAGGAATTATTGACTTACAACAAGCTTCAATCTTTCTGAAAAGCTACTAAGTTAGTTTAGTCTTATTTAAAATGCATCAAGATATTTACACCTGAACCTGGACAAAAATACCTTTAATAACTTTTTCTGCACACCAAGTTGTTTTAAATATAATCTCTAACTCACGTTCATCAGTTTAGCTAAAATTTCTTGTTCTAAAAAAAAAAAAGTTTAAGGTTTCATTAAAATTATTTTTTGTTGATGGACATAAAGTCTAGAGGGATTATTTCACCTTTTCCAGGTGTTGGAAATGTGAAGTGAGTCAGCAAATTGCATTTTAAGATTAAAAATTGGTTCATTTTTGTTTTTCATTTTATTTTGTGGTAATTTATCAGTGAATAAAATAAATTTAAGTACCTTATCAGATGATTTTATGTTTCCAGATGGATTTCATCTCTCCGTGTTCGGCCAGCAGTGAAAACGGAAATACTTCCTGTGGAAAACAAAGGGCAGATGGTGAGTACTTGTAGTTTTTAAAATCCTTTGTCATACAGAAGTTTTTTTTTATCATTTATGCATTTCTTCATTTATTCGTGTTATTTCTGGATGAGGTTTTTCTTCAATGTAATTGTAACAAACAGATCCTCTGAGATTTCTCAATAAATCTGTTATTTCAGTGATTTAGTGTCATTTTAGACATTTTAGAATGCAAACAAAATCCAATTTCAAAGAAAAAAAAGTAAATTTAATTTGATAACAAAACATTAAAAACAATAAATTACTGACACTGGACTCACTTTGCTGAAGCTCACTGAAGATTTTTTTTCTGTCTGATTTTGATGCTGTTTGGAGGTGATGCGGTTTTATTTTAAAATCATGACCTTTGACCTGAAGCTAAGCGTGCAGCGGTCAGGATGAGTGTCTGGTCCTGTGAGTAGAAGGACGTGGAGAAAGACTGACTGCTTTCCCGGATTGTAGAGCAAGGCATTATGGGTAAATGCAACCAAACAAATGCGTTAGCCCAGCGCTAGCAGGACAAAGGAGACGCTGCTCCATTTTTGTTTAAATTGTGCGAAGAAGGAAGTTGCGCTCAGTGTCTTCTTCAGAGACAAAGACATGAACATGTTCAGAGGTTTTCGTGTCGTTTTGTTCAGTGGTCCTTGATGCAGCGCCCCCACAGGCGAGGAGGGGAACCGATTTTTCAAAAGTTTGGTTTGTTAGACGCAGTGCAGTGTGAGAGATCTGCATCAACTGAAAATGTAACAAACTGATTTTGTACAAATTTCCTGCGTGCAGGTTGCAGCAGCAGCAGCAAGTCGTCGCTCATTTCCAGCTTGGACTGCCTGTCCAGCATCGTGGAGCGGATCAGCACCGACCGGGCCGTGGCCCCGGCCGGGGACAGCGTGGTCCCTCAGGGGCCGAATCCCTCACGACGGCCCGGGCGTCTCTTCCTCACCTGCAGATCTCGGCAGCATCTACGAGCCAATCTCATCCTGATGGAGCCAGCAGCGCCCCCTGCTGCACGGACTGACCCATTACCTCCATTTTTAAGGAGGAGAACTCTAAATTATTCCTGATTTCTGAAGTAAGCCACTGAAATAGCTGCATTTTCTTATGGATGAAACAGTTTTCCCTGAAGTTTTTCACATTTTAGCTGAAAAAATGAATTCTGCTGTCTGTTTTTAAGCATCCAGGATTCCTGGAGACGACCTTTTACACGTGATTCCTGCTGATAAGAACTGAGGACCATTAGCACATCTGACTAGTCACGCTATGTCAACAAACAAAAAACACATTTAAAGTGTTGGAGTGAATGTCTGTATGATATTTAAGAGCTGATGAAATCTTAATAAACATATTTATATTGTCACTTTTTTCCACAGCTTCTCACATCCAGAATTATTTTTATTTTTCCAGCATATGTTGTTGAAATATGGCTAAGCTATTAGCCAAAAACAAAAACAAAACTGTATTTTGTTTTATTTCAACATAATTTATGATCTGTTTGCTGGTTTTCACTTCTGCACTGCAAAAACACAAAATCTTACCAAGTATTTTTGGTATAGTTTCTAGTGGAAATATTTTAGTACACTTGAAAAAGACAAAATTAACTTAAAAGGAACTTTCTTCAAGACATAGGAGCTTGTAATAGGTTAATAATTCCTTAATATTGATTTTAAAAAGTACTAGATACACTGGCAGATTATTACTCTTGTAACAAAACATTTTTCACATAAAAATTAAAATCTGCCAGCGGGACAAGCACATTTTTATTAGTATTAAGAAATTACTGATTTCAAGCAAGCAATTTTTTTGCTTAAAATTTACTTGCAAGTTTGTTTTGTCTTATTGCAATGTACAAAAATATTTGTTAAGATTTTGTTTTGCAGTGTGAGATGAATGGTGTTGAAGCTGTTTTTAAAAAATGAAATATTTGCATCATCTGGTGAGGATAATGCTTATTAAAAGTAATAATTTCTTCAGTTAACATTACCTAAAAAAATTAAATCAGTTTTGAATAAAGGTAAACATTTAAACACTTAGTAGCCACTTAAAGGATAAAAGTGGAAATTCCTGTTATTTTAATTAAATATTACAGGACAAATAACTGAATTTCCAGTATGCATAGCTAATTGATAAATACTGAAGCCATAAATATCAAACATTTAAAATAATAATAATAATAAACCAAAAAAGCATCTTCTGACTGTTTTGAAGATTATAATTTTTATCAGGCTTTATTTAAGCAACTTTTAATTCCACAAACAAAAGCAAAGAGTTTTTCTTAAAAATATCATTTTCTTTCAAAACACTTTTTTATTGGAGCTACATTTATTCTGAAGCCATTGCACTTAAGCAGAAACAGGAACTAAGACATCCAGTTGTCGCCGTCGCCACAGAGTCTGTGCTGATGTCGCGACCTTGGCCGACCTTTTCCCCGGGCTTCTCACTTCCTGCGGCGTGAGGCGGCTCCCTTCTTGCTGCTGCAGGGCGCAGAGAGCAACACGAGTTCAGAAATAAAACTGAAATGTTTTATATACTTTGATATAAAAACCTTGGAGGGAGATGAAACTCCCAAACTGAGGCGACTGAAGAGCTTCAGATGAACAGCGCCCTCTGGTGGCAGATGGCAAAACGTTCTGAGTCACAGCTATATTAAAAGTGAACAACAGGGGGCGCTGATGCAAAGAAACTCAACACAAAGTGATCAGAAAACTGAACCAAAACCAAAGAATGAGAACCTCAAAATTTTACTTTATTTCTTCACACAAGAAATAAAAAAATCAATACATGCATTTGTACAACAGCATGTTAGAGCCAATGTAGATAGTAAAAACAAAAAAAATAAACATTTTAAAAATTAATCTCAGAAATATTCTAGAAAAAATAAAGAAGTTTCTGAGCTCCAAAAGTAAAAAAAAGAAAGAAATTTTGCGATTAATCACAGAAATTTTAAGAAATTTCTGAATTTAAAAAGTTGCAAATTTTTGACTTTTGGAAATTTTCAGTTTCAAAGGCAGAAAATTTTTAACTTCTGAAATTCAGAAAATTTCCATTTTTTTCCAATAAATTTTCTGAAGTTAGTCTAAAAATTTTTGTTATTTCCAGCAAATTTCTGACTTTTCAAACTCAGAAAATGTTTTTCTTCCAAGGACAAAATTAACTTAAAAGTAAAAACAAGATATGCAGATTATGTCTTGCTGTAAATATTCATATTCAAATAAGTAAATATTTTTTGAATTAAAATAAAAATTTAAATTAAATTTTAAAAGTACTAATTTTATCATGTATCTATACTACTTAAAATTCACCTATAAATCTTGCTGTAAAGTAATTTTTAAGTTAATTTAGTCTCATTTCAAGTTTATTTAGATATTTGAACTAGAAACTAGACAAAAATACTTGGTAATGGTTGATGTTTTTACATGTTAGTTATTTTGGATCCTTATTCAAATGAGGAAAATTACATTCCAGTTTTCCAGTCTGCAGGAATTTTGACATTTTGAGTGAATTTTAGGCGGCTTTGTGTTTGCATTGTTTGTCTTTGTCACTTACTGTTTCTGCAGCTCATCGATGCGGTTTCTGAGAGAGACGACCTTAAAAAAAACAACAATTCTCAGTTAAAAAAAAAGAACTTCTTATTTTGCTTTGATTCGATTCTCATGATCACATCAGGAGAAAATAAACCTAAACTGTTATAAAACAAACTCCATTTTTCCATCAGTCACTAAATTATTGCAGGTTACAGATTAAGTCTAAATGCTTTATGCTTTAGTATTTCAACCTGCATTGCTAAGACAAATATATTTATATAAAAGAAGAGAAGACTTTTTTATTTTTAAACTTAATTGTAAATGTTTTGCGCCAGGAGCGCTGGGTGTTTTTGCGAGGCTCACCTCATATCTTTGTCTCTTGAGCATCTCACAGTGGTCGTATTTTATTGCCTCCAGGTTGGTCAGCCAGTCCCAAAGCTCTTTGGCCTTTTCCCTGACAAACAACACGAACCATTTTCACTGCCAGTTCTCACCACTTTAAATGTTCTATGTTATTTACAACAGGCTGTAAGGGCTGTGCTAAGAAAAATACAAAATATAAGCAATAAAGTCATAATATTACCCGAATAATGACTTTATTCTGGTTATATTATGACTTTATTATCACAGTTTTATTACTTCATTTACAGAGCGTTATCCCCTTAATGCAGTCAAATCTTTAATCAAAGTTCTTCTCAAACAACCAATTTTATAGTCCACCATCACCAGTATATTTGATTTTAATCTGGTTGTGTTGTTTTATTGGTGTTTAAATGATATATGTCACATATTTCTTTATATTTCGTCCAGTTTATATAAATTTTTATTTTGTAAATGTTTAGCAGTTTGCCTGTGAAGTTTCACTGAGCTTGAAAATCAAAAGAGAAATAAAAATTTTCACTCATAACAACATATTATTCAACAAAATATTATATAATCTGCCAGTGGAACCAGAACTTTTTCTTCAATATTAAGAAATAATAACTCATATTTTAAGTTAGTTTTGACTTATTTAAAGTGTATTAAGATATTTGTACTAGAAACTGGAGTAAAATTACTTGGTAAGATTTGGTGCTTTTGCAGTAAAGCCCAGAGGACCAAACGTTTTTACCTCAGCTGGTCGTCTGTGAGGCTGTCGATGCTCAGCGGTTTGATCCTCTCTGCCAAAACCTTCTTCTTCTTTTCTCTTTCCGTCTGCTTCTTGCCTCTCTTCGCATCAATCTGGTGAGAAATAAAAACATTAAAGTTACATTTCACGGCTGCATTTACTGAGATTGAATGTAAAATGGAGATTGAATGTAAAAAGGGGAACTGAAGCAGGTCAGATACCCTCTGCAGGTGGCTGCTGAAGCCTGACCCCATGTTGGTGAGAGCTATCTTCTTCTTGGCGTCATCGTCAGCCTTCCTCTGTGCATCCGCCTCCTCCTTCCTCATCCTCTCAGCCTGTGGAAACATTAAAACCAGAAACCCCCCAAAAATTAAGCAACGTGCAAAAAACACCTCCAGACCAGCAGAGGCCAGTGAAACCGATGCTTCATACGTCCTCTTTCCAGAGCTGGACAGAGGACGCAAGAAAATCTACATACTTTTATCAAGTAAAAGCAAAATGAAAGAAATTACTCAAGAGTAATAAAGTATTTGGAAAAAGTACTCAAGAACGAGTAACTGATCAAATACATCATCAGACAGACAAAAATTTCAACAAAAAATGACAAAAGTAACAAAAATAACAAAATAAATTTTTCCAGTTTCTGGAAAATGATGAAACTTGAACAGAAACTGCAGATGTGTGTCTGAGTCTGGTGAAGTTTTGGTTTGTTTCTCATTCAGTGGGTAGAAAATCCAGAAATTTTACTCAAGTAAGAGTAGAAATACTTCATAATAAAATGACTCTTTTCTGCTCTTTTATTATTTCACTCAACTAAATGTAAGTCGTTCCTGCCCATCTTTGTCTCTTTGCTTTGATGAAATGACATATTTCAGGTCAGATTTACCTCACGCCGCGCCTGTCGCTCTTTATCTTTCTCAGCGCGAATCCTCTGCTGCTCGGCTCGCTCCGCACGCCGCTTTTCCTGCAACAAGCGCAGCAGACTCACTTCCTGCCTCCGAGTCAGGAGCTGAATGCGATGTGCATGTCTGCACATCGTGGGAAACTCACGATTCTTTCTTTGAGAGCGATCAGTTCCTCCTCCTCCTTCTTCCTGCACTCAAAGTGAGCGTCGATCAGAGACTGAAGCTCCACCAGATCTTTGTTTTGACGTTTCTTCTGGATGTCCTGAGACAGAAACACGACAGATCGACTTTAATGATAAGAACCTGCTGCTGGGTGTCGTTTACCAAAAAACAGACTGGAAAAGTCAACAAAAGGTCACCGAACGGTCAAGTACATCTGACAAATTTAATTTGAATTTAAAAAGTTGAACATTTGTAAAAAAAAAAATTGGAAATTTTCAAGACAAAAACTAGAAAATTTAACTCCAAACCTGTCAACTTTGAAACTGAGAAATATGTGAGTTTTTGTCTTGAACATTTCTGAGATTGACCTCAAAATTTCAGATGTTTTTGTAGCAAATTTTCATTTTTTCATTTCCTAGTTTTTCTTCCTACAAAATTTCTGGGAATAATATCAAAATTTCTGAGTTTTTTTTCTCTTCTTTATCCCCAATGACCCCAACAGGCCTGCAACAAGGTCTTGTCTCAGATTGAATTGTTTATATTTGCATTATTAGTGATAAATCCGATAACAAACAACACCTGATGAAGCCTACATTTCTTAAAAACAAAGAATGAACAACTATTATAATCAAATCAAATCAAACAAACAGAAATATAAAGG